ATTTCATATGATTTCGGTGGCATCCATCGCTTGAATCAAATGGAGTGAAATTCTTTAAGTTAATGGATATTTTGTGTTTACATAGCCGGTCGATTGTACTGTGGATGTTAATTCCATCTGACCCAAAGGTTCAGTCAGTTATTCTTTTTTTGGCAGACTCGGTAGAGGGTTTTTCGAAACCAAGATCAAATTCCGTAATTTCGCTTCTTAGCTCCTTTAGCGATCCGCTGGTGCTTATTTCTTTCCTTTGGATGTGACGCGGGTTTAAATCGTCTCCAGTGAAGGTTGGTTGAAGGTGCATATCCCAAGAGCGCAAGAACAGCACGAATCCCGAGGCCTGTTAAGACTTCGAACCATGTTTCATAGGAAGTTTCGAAGATTGATGGAATAAAACATGCAAAGGAGGATGGGCAGTCTGTTTTCTCTTGTCATTCTGTTTTATAAGAGAAAAAACCTGTTCACGAAACAAATTGTCGATGAGGCTATTTAATTTTTTGGTAAGGACTGCCGTCCGCCGATTAGCTGACCGGCATGAAATATCATTTGCTTGATTCCTCATTTTTCCCCGTTTTGTTTGATTCGATGTCAAGAGAATTTTAAGGCTTTGAAACTGGCCGAAAAAGAGGAATTGACGAAGAAGAAGCGTGCCTCGAGGAAGAAAGAAAAGGAAAAGAAGGATGAGAAAAAGGAAGAAAATTCGTGATTTTGTTTTTATAAAATTTAGAAATAAATGTTCAAATCGATGGCTTTAGCTTGTTTTTTAAAGGTTAACCCCTGTCGCTTTGACGAGTATTGCAGTTGGTAATAATTTTTAAATTGTAAATAATTTGGTAGCATTTCACTAGCATACTGTTTGTGGTGCATAATAATTGGGTAATAGACTGTGTGGTTCGTTGGGGGAATGTACTGCAATTGGCAGCAGTTTGGTTAGTAGGCATAATTTTGCTGACGCAAAAATTACATCATTTTGCTGAAAATATTTGCCAGATTTGAGGAGCAGTTTTTGGTGGACTTGATAGAAGAAGACATTCTCCACACAATCATTGAGCTTGAAAAAAATCGATTTATTGCAACAAAATTTACCGCTCACCTCTATGTTTTTATGTTCCGGTACTCCCTGGTTATGAAGTACAGTTTGCCTTTTTACCTTTTGCGTATAGATCTACGGCTTTTTTGTCTTTGTGCCCTGAAAGAATGGCTCAAACTAAGCATATTGAGCGTGCGTAAATTGTCGCATTTATGTAATTTGTGCGCTGCCTCAGGTTTTGTTACGAATTCGACGTGGAACTTGTATGCTGTGGAGCTGTGGCTATGGAGCAGACCATTGTTCAGTGTATTGGTTACAGCGAGGGCGGCAAATGCGGCTACTGCAATCGTGACGGTCAATACAGGCACACTTTTGGTGATTTTAAA